CTAGTTAGGCCATTGCTATGTCTGTTGATGCCTCACCTGTTGGCGTCGTGTGGGCAGCATCCCCAGGAATTCTCTGCTTCCATGGCTTGACTAGGACGTTTCCGTACCTGTAATTGAGCCTAAAGCTCTGCCGTCTTATACTGCAGAAGGAGTCTTCATCGACAGCCACATTCAGCCGTAGGTAGCCGTCCTCAACTTTTGCATCCATGACTCTCCAGAGTGATGTGTTGAGGCTCTCATTCTGAGCTCTCAGGAGACCCAGTGCATAGTCCTGGCCCCTGTCTTTGCTCCATGGGAGGAAGATGGTGACATTATGGGTTGGTGGTGGTTTGGTTCCCTCGTCTCTGCAGTCCACCAGTAGCAGGCCCGGTCTAAAGTAGACGCCCGTAAAAACAAGTGGGCGGGACCATTCCCTCAGAACCTCATCCATAATGATGTCCTGCAGTCATATGAGTTGCTCTGGAGTGAGAGACATGGCGGGGTACTCTTGGGGTAGCACCGCTATTCTTGTTGCTCTCATTGCATCTGCGTAACTCGATTGCTGGTTCTGGTTAGTGACTCCGTGCTCACTTTGTCTATGGTCGCTTTTCCGATCGCTGTTTCTCGGAGGCGACCCCGGCGGGTGATCTCTACGCCGCTTTGCAGGTTGCTTTTTTGTTGCTGTTGGCACACGTTGGTTGCCGGTGGTTTTGACGGCTGGAGCTTTTCGCTCTACTGGTCTCCCGGCTCGGTTTCGCGCAGAGTCAGGACTCATACCTCTTGCCAGGTATCGACGGTACCGTGCTATTCCAGCGCCTCTGAGACCCCTTCTTCGTGGGTCGTCTCGTGCCCCTGATTTCCCTAGATCGCGGGCTACTGGTCCGCGCCGGCGTCTGAGTGCTCTCTGCTCCTTTTGTTGGTCTGCGCTGCTCGCTTGTCTACCGGTGTGAGAGTTGGGCGAGGTCATTCGGCCCTCAGTCGCTCCTCCATCCTGTGTGCGTTGTTTAGTGCAAGAGGGCGAGGTCTTACGGCCCTCACGCCCGTATCTTTCGTCCGTGCGGTGAAGCATGTGATGTGGCGAGGTCATTCGGCCCTCAAGCCTGCCCTCACCCTCCGTGCGCTGGTGCATGCGCTGAGGCGAGGTCTTGCAGCCCTCAAGCCTATTCTTCTCGTTAGGGTTGTGTTGCGTACGTTGAGGTGGGGAGGGGGATCGACAGTTTCTATCCATGGTGTTCGCAAGGTGGTGGGCAAGAGGTGGCGAGGATCCTCTGCTATCAGTATGGCGTTGTTTGGCGTTTAGTTGTTGGTATTTTCGTGTAGGCGCGGTTCCAATGCCCTCAAGCCTACCCATGAGGTTCCATGCTCGCGTGCATATGATGGCGAGGTTGTCCTACCCTCAAGCCTGTTGTTACCGCCCACCTGTTTGTGGCGCTTGCGGTGTGTTGCGATGGTCCAATGCCCATCTGACCTACTGTCGGAGTCGGCATCCGGATGCTTGCGGTTGAGTCTCCTTGCATGCGCAGACCGTGACTGCGGTTCGGAGTGATGATGGGAGTGCGAAGGCGAGATTATATGGCCCTCAAGCCCCCTCCGATCATTCCCGTTCAATCTACCCTCTGGCTTTCGTCGTGAGTCTTCGCGTCGATGATGGTCGGGATAGGGCGAGGTCGTTCTGCCCTCCAGCCCTCCGCGCGTGTCTTCCCGTTGGCGAGGTCGTACTGTCCTCTAACCTCCTGTGTGTGGGCAGTTGGCGTTGGTCGTCGCGGTAGGGCGAGGTTCTTCTGCCCTCTAGACCTCCGCGCGCGTCTTCCAGTTGCTGAAAGTCGCGATATGTTGAGGTCGGCCTGCCCCCAATCATTGAGTGCTGGGACACCATGTGCTGCGTGTTGAGGGGAGGCGAGGTCATACTGCCCTCTAGCCTCCTGTGCGTGAGCAGTTGACGTTGGTTGGCACGGTGGGGCGAGGTCGTTTTTCCCTCAAGCCCTTTATGCGGGAAGTTATAGCTCCGGGCGTGTTGAGGCGCTGTTTCCGCCTGTGTGGCAGCTAGTTTTCTGTAATTGATGTATCGGTGGTGGGATGGCCGTTTCCGCTGGGATCCCGCAGTGAGGTTGGCCTCCGAGCTGCTATCTGAGTCGCTTCTTGGTCGTCTGCGTCCTCCCGTTCACTTGCTTGCTAGTGAAGGCTCGCTTGCCTCAGGCTGTTTGCCAGCGCTTCTCTCAGCGGGTATGTGTCGTGTTCTGACGGTAGGTGGGCTTAGTTGCTGGTTAGTGGATCGAGTCTTGTTCTCCTCGGTGTTTCGCCGATCTTTAACCTCTGCTGGGTTCTTCAGGCTTTTGCTGGTGCTCATCTCACCTGAATTGGTGGGGGGGCTTTACCCCCCTCGTGTGGCCTGGTCTGCCCCTACTGGATGAGGGGCGGTCATCGTCTCGGGCGTATTCTGCGAACAGCTCCGCTTCTTCTGGGGTTAAATCTGTCCAGCCATCTTGTTTGTTTTTTGTTTGTGTTTTTGTTATTTTTGTGGTTCTTCATCTTGTACGTACGACCACCTTCTTGTCGAGGCAAGTTCAGTGGTCTAAGTATAATACCGGGGATCTCATATCGTCCGCCGTGGTAGCGCCCCATACCACGGTAAATGGGCACGGTGTCGCTTACACCACTGTCCATCAGCGGGTCGCACCAGGGCAGGGCAGCGCGCCCGTACCATACCTGAGAGGTGCTGATGCGTGCGTGCTGACACCTCCTGATGCGTCCCGGTTGATGATTCAGCTAAGCCCCCGCACCAACGGCAAGGTGCCTGCCCTAGCGAGGGTTAAGGACGTAAGCATAGGCGGCTCCAGAGATAACCGATATGAGAGTTTCAGTTTGTATGAGCGGTGCCACGACCCTCTTTCCAAAACCGACCACTTTTCACCTTAAGTACGGTATTGACAACATATGTTGCTGTGCCAAATTTCCGGACGTTAGCATAGGCGGCTCCAGATATAAGAGATATGAGAATTTCAGTTTGTATGGGCGCTGCCAAGCCCCCTTTTCCAAAATCTAACACTTTTCGCCGTAAGTACGGTATTGACAACATATGTTGCTGTGTCAAATTTTAAGACGTTAGCATAGGCGGCTCCAGAGATAAGCGATATGAGAACTTCAGTTTGTATCGGCGGTGCCACGCCCCCTTTTCCAAAATCTACTACTTTTCGCCGTAAGTACGGTATTGACAATATATGTTGCTGTGTCAAATTTCAGGACGTTAGCTTAGGCGGCTCCAGAGAAAACCGATATGAGAATTTCAGGTAGTATGGGCGGTGCCACGCCCCCTTTTCTAAAATCTACCACTTTTCGCCGTAAGTACGGTATTGACAGCATATGTTGCTGTGTCAAATTCCCGGACGTTGGCATAAGTAGTTCCAGAGAAAAGCGATATGAGAATTTCAGTTTGTATGGGCGGTGCCACGCCCCCTTTTCCAAAATCGACCATATTTCGCCGCAAGTATGGTATTGACAGCATATGTTGGTGTGTCAAATTTCAGGACGTTAGCATGGCGGTTCCAGAGAACCGATATGAGATTTCAGTTTGTATGAGCGGTGCCACGCCCCATTTCCCGTTATCTACCACTTTTCGTCATAAGTACATGATTGATATCATAAATAGCTGTGTCCAATTTCAGGACGTTAGCATAAGTGGTTCCAGAGATAAGCGATATAAGAATTTCAGTTTGTATGGGAAGTGCCACGCCCACTTTCCCAGTACCTACCATTTTTCACCGTAAGTAGGGCAGTTACAATCTATGCATCTGTGCTAAGTTTCAGTTCCCAGCATCATTAGCGCACACAAGGGGTGGGTTTTGGGGTTCAAACCCCCCTAAAGCTAATAACCTCAAATACAAACTATCTTAAAGCTAAGAATCCAGCTCTCAAGGAAATTATAAGAAATATTTATTATAATTTCTGTTGCTTGAAAAAGCGCTTTGCTTTTGCTGTCAATTTTCATGAGGAAATGAATATACGAGCATTTTTGCTTGAGAGCTGCAAACTGATTTAAGAAATTTTGGTAGAAAATTCGAAATATTAAAAAAATTAAGAAATCGTGAAAAATCACCATTTTTATCGAAAGCCAAAAACCAGAAATCGAAAAAAGGAACATAAAAGAGCAAAAATTCATGGAATCAATAAATTTATTTTTACTGAGTCTTTTTTAATATTTTTTATTAGGTACTTTTGAAAGTGGAGCGCATCTTGAGTTTATAGAACTTTTTATTAAAAAAAGTAGTTTTTAAGGAAAGAACACAACCGACTTCAATTCTTATATTCAAATTTAGGGGTACCGTTAATTTCTTCATGATCCAATCATCGGATCTCTAAACCAAATTACGGGCCGAACCTTGAGGTACCATCTTTCTACAAAAAAATTATTATTGAAATCGGTTCACGTGGTCCAAAGTAACGTATTCCGGCGAATTGACAACCTCCCCTTTTTTAAAGTCGGTTAAAAGTGTTTGAGTTCTGTTAATCTTATGTAAATAAAGTGCAGTTTATGAATTTTAAAACGCTTATTTATTTATTACATACTGTACATAAAACTTGCATAAATATATTTTAAAGAGCGTATTATCTGAAGAAAATTTTCAGTATTTTCCGGTGATATATCTTCAGAAAAATAAAGCCCCCCTAAAATATATTCCTGGGTGCGCCCCTGCCCAGCATAATTGGTTTTAGAGATAAAGTGGTTTTCATATTTTAGTCTATATGTCAGATGCCACGCCCCCTATGTATCGGTATAAAGATTTCTGGATTAGAGGAAGTTATATCCTTTAAATCGGTGTATGTTTCATTGAAATCGAGCAAACGGTGGCTTCAAAAAAGGGATTGCAAAATTTTCTTGTGGCGTATTTATATATAGAGATGTTGGTAATGAGTACAATCTTATTCTTAATTATTTTTGCTGGTATTGGGTCACCTAGGGTTTAATTACTCCTATCTTTAACTAAATTATTGTTGTTTACAGTTATTTCTTTTTTATTTTTCAGCATGGTACTATTTGGACCATCTTGTCTAATTATTTTATAAGGGCCTTCAAATGGTAAATCTAATTTCTTTTTATTGCCCACTTTTAAATAAACGTGATCATTCACAGTAAAATTTGCTTTATTTATTTTTGTTTGTTTTTGTCTCTCCCTCATTTAACTTTCATTTAAGTTTGTAGCAGCATTGCCGTGTGCAAACTTGAGTTTCATTTTCAATTCATTCATATAATGGGCAACACTGCAACGTTGTTGACGTGTTTGTAATCGCTCTGCGGTAAATTAAAAAAAAAACAGCCGAATTTTTGGGTTTTTAACCAGCGTTAGAGACAGTGACTTAAATTGCAAAGTGCTAATAAATTGTGCTACTTCCAAGCACAAAAATTTATTACATTTCGTTTAAACAAACAAATAAATATAGCCAAGAGACATAAAAGTGCAGTGAGGTGACAAAAACAATAAGGCGCGAAAGTGGATAAATGCCATAAGTGCAAGAATCCAATTCGTGGTGACAGCGGAATCCGTTGCGTCGGTGTGTGTGGTAAAGGCATTGGGACAAAAAATGCTCTGAATTGGATGAGTACAGTTCGAATGTACTCAAAGAAAACAACTTTGTGCGCTTTATGTGTAACCAGTGTCACACATACATGCATAACATTGATGAGGTGCTCCGAAATATGAACTTAACAATGGAGAAAAATAGTCAATAGCTGACGGCGTTAAAAAGTAAAGCCATGATCTTTGCGAAGCCATAGTGCGCAATGAAAAGGAGAACAAAAAAATAAAATAAGCGAAAACAACAAATTTATTTACATTAACACCGAGTCAGATATAAACCTAATTGAATAACCTAAACAAATTAAAAAGAAAAAACTAAAAATTCTATTTATTTGATATAAACATTAATTTATTTCCACATTTATGGACACTCATGGTCCTTCGAGCCATGGTCCATCTTCGCCAGGAAATACAAACAGCCAGCATACTATAATACAGTCCACTGAAATTTTGCTACATCACAAAGAGCACTTATTCACAACTTATTCATAAATACATTGATTGGAGCACCATTTTTACACTGCGCAGATCGCTTTGCCACAACAACTGGAGCACCACCACTTACCGCAATCATTTTCAATTTTCAAAAGAACTCCGTATTCACATATGTACATATATATGTATATAGCTGATCGTATAACCACACATTGAAGTCATAAACAACAGGATTGTCAAAGGTACGTGGTTAACATTTCTGCACTTTCTTGCACATATACATACATATACGTCGATTTGTGATAGTGCTCAAATCCGATATTTCGCGCAAATACAAAAAAAAAAATTATAAAAATATAACTCGAGTGATTTTGTGGATTCAGTGTATTATAAATCTATTCAATACTCGATTGTGAACATATTAACTTACACAAGTGCTTGGTCACTTTTTACATTACACTCACTGCGGCTTGTTAGTGTAACCATTGCCTCAAATTAAACTTCGGCACACATATTTTCTATTAAATTTCCTAATTCAAACACTTTTCCACATTTGCAAAGCACATATTCAATTTAGTTGCACATTGAATCGGCTTTCATTTTTTTTCGTGTCACAAATAGTTTGATTTGCTAACTCATCACACTAACAACCACTTGAGTTTCGAGGATCTTGACCACATTTATTAATGCATTTTGGTTCTGCACGGATTCGAAGCACTTTATCGCTGTAATACCACAAAATCACTATTCGCGCGATATAACACCTCAAACAAAAATATACACCTTTTTGTCCACGTTCAAACATTTATATTCTTTAATTGTACTTTGATGTGAGTTGGGTGGCGCCCATATTCTGCAAATAAATACATACATAAGTGCAAATATACACACGTAAATTCAAATATCAGTACAAGAAAAAAAAATAATAATAATTCTGATACGTTATCAATTAAAACTGTTCGTTTTAAAATCTTTGATTGTGGGGGGTTTTTCTTGGCTTCGCATAGAGCTTTGTAAAAGGGTGTCATTCACATACCCCCTCTTAGTTTTTTACATAATCATCCCATAAAGCATGGATAAATTTATTCGCTTGGCAGACGCTGTCACCGAGTTTGAGGCCGACTACAATGACACGGCCCAAACTGATCACACTAAGTACACTCTTGCTATTCAGCAAGATGAACTTAAAGCCATATGGAGGAAGGTAAAGACAGCGTATGAGGAACTAGTACATTCCGATAGGTTAGACGCCACAGGAGTCGCCACTGTGAAACCTAAGTACAAAAGTTCGTATGCTGTATACCTGCGCTGCATGTCTAACATGGCAGAACTCCATGCAAAGTTAGTAAAGAATGACAATGATGTAGAGGATATGTCCGCCCGAGAACATAATATTCAACTACCGTCGTGTGATACGGACGTATTCAAAGGCGACTATCTCTCTTGGCCGACTTTCCGAGACATGTTTACGGCCATATATATACGCAACAAGCGCCTCACCCCTGTGGAAAAATTGTTCCACCTGAACCAAAAAACAGAGGGGGAGGCCAGAGAGATCGTGAGTAAATGTCACTTAACTAACGATGGCTTTCAAACTGCATGGAAGAATTTGAGTGATAGGTATGAAAATAAGCGTATCCTGGTAAATACTCAACTCAAGATTCTGTTTAACTTAGAGGCGGTAGAGAATGAGTGTGGCAGCTCCATTAAAAAATTACAGCGCGATATTAATAATTGCATCTCGTCCTTACAATGTCATCAAATTGACATCTCAAACTGGGATGCAATTATTACATATCTATGCTCGACTAAGTTACCAGAAACTACATTAGCGTTATGGGAGCAAACAATTGAAAACAAAACTGAAATATCAAAGTGGGTAGACATGAATAAATTTCTATCACAACGATTTCAAACTCTAGAAACCGTTTCAGACATTAGAGGCAGTAAAAATTACCCAACTACATTACCGCACAATAGTAACAACCATATGGAAAGTCAGCAAAAAAGATTGAAGCCATTCCAAGCAAGCGTACCCAAGGCAATATGCACTTTCTGTAAGAGCAACGAGCACAAGCTATCAAGTTGCCAAGAATTTTTCAACCTAGCAACAGCCGATAGAATCTCCTTCCTAAAGAATAATAACAGTTGCTTGAACTGTCTATCCTCCGGACATGTGGTGTCGAGGTGCAAAAGCTCATTTAATTGTAGAATATGTCACTTGAGGCACCATACGCTCCTCCACTCCCAGACGGTTCCGCCAAAAGCAACTTTTCCAACTAGTAATTCCTTTTCTACAGACGACATCGCCTCATCTTCCGCCCAAGCCCAAGCAAGACGCGACTCTACAAATACAAATAACGTGCAAGCTTGCTTCGTCAATACGAGCAAAGGGGTTCTATTAGGAACCGCGCGTGTTAACATATTTTTCAAGAATAATAACTTTACAGTCCGCGCACTTATAGACTCCGGATCAGAAGCCTCTTTTATAACCGAAAGCCTTAAACGCAAAATCAACCTACCATCAAAGAGAATGCGTGCCCAGGTATAAGGCATCAACAACAGTGTTTCTGCACAAGTAAAAGAAACGTGCGTCGTTCAACTGCGGTCACCCATTGACCCGTCAATCAATATAAATACGCAAGTCCTAGTTCTGCCGCAACTCACCGGAAACTTACCGACTTGCGAAGTAAAGGCTAAGACGAGGCAAGCGTTTCCGGACCTACTATTAGCGGACAAGAACTTCTACAGAAATGAACACGTTGATCTTATCCTGGGCGGCGATATTTATGCCCAGATAATATTAAATGGTATCCAAAGGAAAGGAACTCTACTTGGACAAGAAACCGTCTTCGGCTGGATAGTAACTGGCCAGACGGAGCCGAAATCCCTAACCACTAAACGCGCATCTTTCTTTAATGCGGTCTCATTAAAGAAGCGGCTTACGTCCTCAAAAGGCCACCTAAAAAACAAAACTTTCAATAAAGAAAAAGATTTTAACACAGGAACGCCAAAACTACGGCGAAAATTAGTGCCAAATTCTTTGGGCGGGGGAGGGACTGAAGCTACCTTTCGTAAAAAGTCCTCACACCAAAGAGGCACATTTGGTTGTACGAACGCAACCTACGACCAATTCGCAACAACACCCGCAGAAAGGAAGTGGAGGCGCGGCACAACAACCGCAATAATTGAGCGCCATACGCAACTCCATGGTACTGGGCAACAATACTACAACTTTCAGTCAAAACTCCACTTCTCTATAACCTAAACTATCCCACTTTTTCTCAAAACCCGCAAAATTACATACAATCCACAGCGTCTACACTCAGGCGTGTGTAGCACGCTTACACACCAGGCTACGTGAGTGAACCGTATCGACGGTGACCAAATGCGATTTTCTTATTCCTAAATCAACACAATATCACTATTACAAAACAAATATTTTCCCCAATACAAAAACGACCCAGCCTAACGTGCATACGCACATGTATGTATGTTTGCAAAAGGAAGGAAACGTCCCTATCAGAACAGTTTACTGTATAATACAATATATTTGATTTTTTTTTGTTTTCAAATCTTAAACACAAACATAGTTTACCAAAATTCCATAATAATCGAACCTAAGAAGAGTACAAAAACTCACCGACTCACTTCCGACTCTACGTTTTAATTTCGGGCAGCACTTTTCCACCGTCGATTTGCATTCCTGTAAGTTTTTGCAAACTATAGTAAACAACGCCCGACTGTAGAGATTTTCTGCACTGTTATAAAATCCAAGTCGGCATCTCAATACTTTACATTGCACGCTACAATAGAATGAAAGCTTCAGTTTATTTAACTTATGAAATTCGTCGACATAACTTACGATCTGAAGTCATCATTGGAGATTTGACTAATAACCAAACTCCAGGCACAATACTCAAAGATGCTCGTTGCTGGTTAGGTAGATGGGCCCTTGGCGGACATGCCTATGTACTACCTTGGCTGCAATTTGTTTTTTGCTGCTGTAGCATATTGATGAGGATCTTGTTATTGGTTCTGGTAATATTTGGTTGCTGCATCTTCTTTCTGGCAGCTTAGCTGATCCATAAGTTTGTGTTCTTTTATGAATATTTCATGTTATTTTGGACGATGCTAGCTAGTAGGCGATTAGCAAATCGCCAAGTTTTTCAGCTACGGCCCCATACAATTCGTCGCATGAAATATCACTGCCACTCTTCCCGAAGTTTATCCGGCACATATTTCCAAAAAATGCTAAAAGGAAAAGAACAAAAAACTATTAAATTGTAATATAATGAGCTAAATACGCAACTTACCGCCTCGTGCCAACCTCATGCCATTCAGGAAATTAGTATATGTGCTGCATTTTGACATAAATTTAAAATAGAGATGTGTTGAGTTGGCGAACACTCGGTACCCACTGCTTCAGTGTGGGTACTCGATACCGATTCGATGCATTCTGCCGTGGCAAATTATATGAACATTTCAATCACTTTTGCACAAGACAGGAATTATTGTTGTTGTCGAAACTTCGATCACTTTATTAAAACTTCGATAATACTAACTTTTTTATTTTTTTTTCCTTATTTATTTATTTATTTTTCACTCCCTAAAAGGTGCGTGGATCCGGTTTTCACAAGGAATAAAAATAATAAAAAATAAATAAAATAAAAAAATAAACATAAAAAGAATAAAAAACGTATACATATAGATATATTTCAATGCGACGTTCATGCGATATCGCCCCAAAGTCACTAATAAGTTTTTCTAAAATGCTTGTCCTCCATATGGTTTTGGCTGTTGTGCACTTTTATAAGAAGTTTTTTAATAGTCCGACACCGAGTATGGAAAGTATTAGATACTTTTAAATCGGTATCGAGTAGCTATGAATACTCATATGTCTTTACTCATCACATCTCTAACATAGGAACGTAAATTGCAATTTACGCTCTTGGTTGACAACGCAGCCAGGGTTAGGACTCCCTACGATCGTTAAAACTGAAAATTTACTATCAACTCGATACCGGCGAGCTACTTAGATTTGCTCGGGCCAAAACAAGGCTTATTACAATTACATATGCATTTCCTTTAAATAAAATCGTAAGTGAATAAATTTTTAAGTGCCCTACAAATTAGTAATATCAAAATAAAGCACTAAGTTGTTATACTACTAAGTACATACATAAGCATTTGTGGTTTAATCGATTCAGGGAAGTTCCACACCATGCGAACAAATAATAAAATTGTTTGTTCTTTTGGGTGGGAGGCCAAGGTTAACACACCATAATCATTCCCTCACCTATTGTACGATATAATCGAAGTACTATTCAGCCACTATACACTGCAGGGCACGAAATTAGTCCCAAAAATTAATAAAATAAGGTCAGAATGTCTAACAAATTTCACAAAAATAGTAAAGAAAATATAAATCATATAGTGGCAACCAATTTTTATGTATTTATGTACAACTCGCCACCCAACTGTAATATATGTAAATGGAATTAAGCTACTTGAAACAAAAGTACAAGTACGAACCAATAATAAATAAAAAATAATATATATATACATATATGTAGATGCATGTACATACATACAACGAAAGACTCGGAGCGGAAACTCGGCCTTTCCGACCACCTTCAGACAATTAAAAGCGCTATGGAGCGGAAAGCAGGCTTTTCCGCGCGTAGCCAGACCAACGATCAATTTTATCAACTACGGTATCGAGGTAGACTGGAGACTCGGCCTCGCCAGCTATCGACTGCCTTAAATTATTCCAACTATGTGCAAAGAAATGTTTAACCACGTCCTTTCGTACTAACCTTCTCTTTTTTAATATCCAGGAAGTCGAATACAATTTTTTATTTATTTTTAAAATTTATTTGTTAATGCAGGTGTGGTGGTTGAATGGCTCGACAGATGTTGCTTATAGCAAGGGGGCCGGCATGTTTAGGCCACTAGACTAAACCAAACTTTGAAAAGGGTGAACCACCCTAATGTTCATGTGCATACACACACCGATATATACATACATACGAATATGAGCATATAAATAATTGCATTATTTTTCCCGCCAATTATTATAACGAATTAGCCAAATTTCCCCTCAGCACATCTCGCTGTTTGAGGGTTCGGCTAAATCTGTCAACAAATAGCGCGGGCATTCCAGTTTTTCACTTAATAGAGCACGGACGCCTATCAGCCACCACCCTTCATCACACACCATACAGGTAATATTTCGTATTCACCTTACATTTGTATATGTGTATACATACATAATTAATAAATCAAACACATATTTGACGAAGAATTAATTTTTCGTGGCTTTATTTATTTTCTCGGCCTACACTGAAAATACATTGGTGCAACCTACGGCAACATACGGAGCTTCGAAGAAAGTAGTTGCACCTATGATCAATTACTAACTTAAAATATTCAACATTTATCGTACATTTACTTGAATATTCGATCTTTGAGAAAGAATTTCAATAGCTTTCGAGCAACAATAAACCACCTCGTAGATAATATTGATGTTATCGTATTGGTAGAAACAAGTATTACTAATGAAGAGCAAAACCTATTCAACATAAATGGCTTTAGCTCACAGTACCTAAACAGAGCAGGCAGAAGAGGCGGAGGTATAGCAGTCTTTGTAAGAGAAAGTCTTATTGTTAACTACATAATGAAACTCATTTCTTCGAAACAGTGGAGGTGCACATTAACAAAAACAATTTTTCATGCACATTGATTGCTATATACCGACTAAATGTTCGTAACTTTATTTCAGAGCTGGAAAATTTGTTTTCGCAAACCACCAAAGATGCCTGCGTAATATTAATCGGAGATATCAATATTAACCCTTCGTCTGACACATGAGCCCAGCCAGGCCTTTTCCATTTTCAAATTACAAAAAAGGGCGCTTTAAATATAGCTAGAGGCTTGAAATTTCAGGTAGCTTACTAAAGTTTAGTGAATTACCAATCTGTAAAAAAATCATGTTTGTGTCATATATATAAAGCTACATATATAGACATGTTGATTAATGCATAACATTCGTAACACATAGGTCTATAGGTAATTTTTATCTAAAATGAAGGAATGCAACGTTTTTCAAATTTTCTTTTGAATTTTTGAATTATCATGGCAAGAGATGATATGCATTTTTATCTAAAATGAAGGAATGCAACCGTTTTGCAAAGTTTTCTTCTGAATTTCTGTATCATTATAACTTTACTCGCCTCCAAAGCTCTTCTATGTTACTCGGAACTCGCATGCGCTATGCTAGTCCTCTCTCTTGACCACAGCGCGCAATTTTTCTATGGCGTTGAGGTGTGGGGTTTGTGTTGGCCACTGCATTACGTGAAAATTTTGCTCAAGCAGCCGACGGTGTCGAATATTTTCAGAATCCTTTGGATCTCCGTCCTGCTGGCAAAATTAGTTCGGAGAATATGTTCATTATTCCTTTTATATTAACCAATGGCACCAAACGCCAGCAAGTAAAACATCCCAAGCCACTGAAATTTTGTAAAAGTCACGAGAACTGGAGCTTGTGGACTGAAAAGGG